CAGGACCCGGAATGGCGATGGTCCCACCGCATCCTGCGTGTGCCGAGCACCATCCTGGCCTTCCAGCCGTGACTGCAGATCAGCCGCATAGATTTTAGCTGCTTTTTCCTCATTTAATCATTATAAGGCTCGTGAGTGGATATCATAGTTCAAAATAACAAAGATTATCACCATCTTCCTGACTGGGTGTATGCCAAATCAGAATATAGTCCTATGGACATACATATATGTCCAAGGCACTCCCATATAAATTGCCATGTCATTTAGGCACCTTATACTGACAGGGCACAGAAGGCCAAAATTTACATGTTTGATCTGACAATTGGATTGGCTCCTGAAAAGATGAGAGCAACATCATCGCATCTTTTCTTTTGTTCTCTTATGTCCTGCTCACAGCCTGTAACATAGATAACAGGGTTCCTCCTACATGTACGTCTTTGACCATCCCTAAATCTAAAGTCTTTAATTGTTTGTTTATTGCAAATTCGATCTTGCCCAAAGGCTGATTGCAGGAACAGAAGAAACATGGTATAAAAACAGACAATTGATACATATAGAACTACTGATAACTACTAAGAAACTACTGGTAAAAACTACTACTTTAATAGTAGGATAAGACTCCGACCTGATAGTCATGTTGTTCCTTTTCATCTAGTCTTCACAACTTCTTCAAATTCCCTTTTCGTAACCTGTCGTCATGTAATTCCCCAAGGAACCCATAAATCAGCTTTGCGGCTCTATGTAACCAAGATTATTGGCAATAAAATAAAATCCATGATGAGAGAGACCTTTTTTTTCCAACATGTAATCACCAGACGTGGTGACGACACACTCAAGTTTTTTCAACTTATATTAATGCCGCCACCAACACAGGGGACGAATACATGACAGGACAATACTCATTTACACCTGAGCTAAGTGAGGAAAGTCGTGTAAGGTGCCTTTCCCAAGGGCACAAGATCGGTGGCATGTCAGGACTCGAACCCAGGACCTCTAGGTTCCAAGTCGCGCACTCTGCCGCTACGCCACACGACCCCACTATGACGAATGATTCATCGTAAGATTCAGCATAGGGTTTTGAGGAGTTTGACTCCATTCTGCATTCTTCGTTAAAGTCACCAGGTGGTGCCTGAGACTTAAGAAACAGACGTGAACTGGGAGTAGCCTGGGTACCATCCTGGTTAGTTAGTTAACGTCCGCTCCCACAGTCGCTGGTGGCTATAGTGGGTAGCGACTGTCGGAGCGGAAATAAAGTAAACAGGATGGTACCAAGGCTAAACTATGAGCAAAACAACGTAAGACTTAAAGAAAGACAGTAACGTTTTTTTCCATGCCGGGAATCGAACCCGGGTCGTATGTGTGAAAGCCCCGAATGACCTGGTCGGATCAAGTCTTAGCTAGAGACAGGTTGTGAGCTCCGTGAATAAGCAGCCGAAGCTTAATGACGAAGACAGCCGAATTCTCACGATGACTCCCGAACACTGCTTGGGTGACGACGTACTTGTTCGACTGGTTCTACCGTTAAATACACAACGGACGAGAAGAATGGAAAGAGGGCCTGCATGGGGGGGGGGAGGTAGTGATACGAATTACGCAAATATTTCGCCACCGATTACGAATAACGTTAAAGTCTCAGACTTGATTACGACTTTACGATTTGCGGCTAATGTCCTATTACGAATTACCGTATATTACGTTGATTTTTGCGGAGGCTGCCTAAGAATTACGAAGTCTAAAAAGGCCTGATTACGCCTTATGTAAAAGGGCATGCAGGCCCTCTGGAACGAGAGTGGTTAAAATGTACCCTCGAGTCTCAACATGATTTGTACCTCATTGGCTAATACCACTCCCCCACAGTCCATATCACATCGTCCAGAATGTTGGCTTAATTGAAGAATCACTACACGCAACGTAGTATTACATATCAAAGGCGATGACTGGCGTAGCGGCAGAGTGGGCGACTCGGAACCAAGAGGTCCCGGGTTCGAGTCCTGACATGCCACCGATCTTGTGCCCTTGGGAAAGGCACTTGACACGACTTTCCTCACTTCGCTCAGGTGAAAATGAGTATTGTATTGTCCCTTGTGTTGGTGGCGGCATTAATATAAGTTTTAAAAAACTTGAGTGTACCGTCACCACGTCTTGTGATTAAATTTTTGAAAAAAAATTTAAAAAAAAAACGATTTCTTTGTCGGAAAATGCGAGTCGAGGCGAAACCGGACCGTCTTGCAGTTATCTCCAAGCTGACCATACGGCGTCAAAGGCAGTATCCATTGGCCAGAGGAGTGTCTACTAGCCCCCTAGGCTAATATTAAGATCTGCCCTGCCATCTATGACTATCTGTAATAGTGAGGCAAAATGACACCATCAAATTGTGCAATGCACTTTTATTGCTGCTACAACTCTTGGGTATACAAAATCAAGACGCCGACTCATACAGAAGTGTTAAGGGAGATAAGTGACAAGTAGGACAGGATAACATGTCATGTTTTTTCGATTAATTTGGAGAAATTTCACCATCAACACAGATTCGAAATGGTGAAAAGTTTGGTGCAAATATGAGATTCGTTACGTTTATACATGTCTTTATCTCAGTTCTAAAACAAAACACAGGCACCTTGTTGTTCTTTATTGGATGCCTGCCAGCATTGTATGGCTGGATAAGGTATTTCAAGACAGTTTCTATGTTGGTAAGTCCAAGTATAAAAACATATTAACTAGTCATCAGTGATAACATCTTAATACTAGTCTATTGCGAACGGGATAATGTCTAAAGAAATATACGTTATGATAGGTTACTACAGGCCACTTGAAGAGGTTATGAGTTAACTTGAATAGTAAGAAGTTGCTCTCCCAAAGCTAGATTGTTGCTATGAGCTATATCTGGACACGTTTTGTGTGTCCCACTGATGCATTTTGCTCCATGGCAAGTACGCTTGTCAGTTGTCTTACTTGCGGCAGACGCCGGTATTGTCGAAGTGACCGCCTCAGCTAAGATCCTCACAGTACAGACAATCCTGCCTTATTTCGACACCGGGGCAGCACAGGCACGTCTGCAACAAGGAAACGTGTTACAGTAAGACATCGCAACATGGAGGTGGCGGAATCCTACCCTAGCGGCTTACAAACAAGGTAAGAACGTTGCAGTCTTTTTAATTGGACTGGTAGGAGGCCATGTTTTGAGAGAAATACGTGTTTGCTGTGCCAGCTCAAAGGTACTCGTAAGTATCGTAGGAGAAGCCCCTTGGTACGAGGCTATACCGTGGCGCTTTGCTTCTGTGTGAATCAGATCAAAACCAACTTTGTCGGCACGCTGTGTCAGCCATACAAATCTAAAATTACAAAAAGCAACTTTATTGGATATTTTCATTATTGGAGAATTTCATCACCTATCATCATCACATCTCCCTGCCTAAACTCATGACCTATAGCTTATCACAACCCTTCCCTTTTAGAAGAGTTACATTATGAAGATGTCTGTCTTACCATGAAGAAACTGTCCGTGACATGGCGATTGGGACACTGGCTGTACTTGTTATTCTGTCCCGTACAGAAGACCAGGTACTCACACCCACCGGGGCTGCGGACAGCGTACCGACGTGAGGGGAGGCCTCCGTTAGGACAGCCATTGACCAGCGTTCGCTTGTCGTCTGAAAATAACAAGTGCACATCTTGATGTCGCCAAATGTCACTTCATGTCCCCTCCTCCAGAACTGGCCATGGTGCTTAGATAATCGTACACCATCTTTTCACGTGACAAGAAAGTCTGGCGTACACAGCAACCTCAAAACTGTGGTTAAGGGCAAACATAACACTTAAAAGAAAGTAAAACCCATGTCTGTGATTCAATATCAGACAGGGTGTCCTTAGGAATTAGTGGACTCTTTCACAACAATGGTTCTATCTAAAGCTCATTACTTACTCTCGTTAGTCTCGTCCCCACCATCGTCTGTCAGAATGACTGTGTCGTCATCCAGGTGGTCTGCGAAGAAGACCTTGAAGTCGGGCTTGAAGCTGGCGAGAACTTCGGGCAGTTTGGAGCGGTCTGCTACGCCGGTGACGGCCCAGCGGTTCGCGTGGACTTCGATGCCGTCTGCGTCGAGGACGGGGTCGTTTTGCCCCTGTAGTAATAAAGCAAGCATTTGTGTTTAACTTGGGCCGACACTGACATCACACACACACACACACACACACACACACACATGGACACAGGCACACACACACACACACACACACATGGACACACATGGACACAGGCACACACACACACACACACACAAACACAAACACAAACACACATGGACACACACACACACACACACACCTAATATATATATTTCTAGCTAAGTTAACTTAAAAGTGGATGGAAAACACCTTTACAAGGCGGGAAAATGTCTACCTCAAACTTCTCAATGCCTGCCTCCTGCTCCTCAAGACCGGCGGGCTCTCCTTCGTCTTCCATGCGGAGCAGGTAACACTTGGAGTCCGTAGTGAGGCAGTACATGGACGTGCCGGTCTTACCCTGAGAAATGGTATGAAAGAAGTCCTGTTTAGTCACCTAATTCACACGTCTGCAAGGTTGCAAAGGTAGACAAAAGAAGTAACTGAATTTTAGGATCTCAAAGCGGCAGGGGATGTGCTCGGAAGATGTCGAGAGGGAAGCCCAGAATCGAGCTGGATGGAAGAGGATCATCGGGGGCCAAGGGCCCAAGTAAGTAAGTAAAGCGACATGGTTTAAATTGAAGTTACGGTTACCAAAACACTACACTGCATATTTGGCTACCTTAGCCAAGTTGAAACCCCTAAATCATTTGAGTTTAATCAAGATTTTGTGGTTTGCTGTAAAAGCCAAACTATTTAGTAAGTTTCAGTACTGTTTTATCGCAGTAACTACCAAAAACATTATTTAAGGAACCGTTATGTAGCTATTATCTAGCTCACTCACCCGATTACTCACTCGTTCACTCACTCAATCTCTCATTCATTCACGGAACGGTAGGGGTAGTATGCATGTCAGCAAAAAATTTCCACGTCTACTAATTATTTAATACGAGTAAATCTACTTTCACCTCTTTGTCTTTGAAGCAGTGACGGATGTCCACCTCTGCCCGCCCGTTGTGCGCAGGCACGTGGAGGGTCTCACAGTTGTGTTCGTCATCAAAGCTGATCGTTTCGGCGAAGACCACGCCGTTCTCGCTGACTTTGACGGTCTCCGTCTCCCCCTGAAAGTAAAGGAACTGACTGTGACCGCAGAACTTTATCCTATCTAAAAAATCATTTCGCATGGAGTACTTCAGTCTCAGAGATCGCCCCGGAGAATGGCTGCATATCTGAGGTTTCTTCAAGGTTTAATGCAGTACAGTTCAATTCCTTGTGCAAAACTTATATCGCGATACTGGTATCATGACTGTAACAAGGAATGATTTACATGTAATATTCGCCCTCGCCGTTTTCAAAAACCTCTACATGGCAGTGCAAATTAACGATGCATGTTTATATATTAAACCATAGACGGAAATGTCTGGTGAAAATCTGGCAAGTCGACTTTTTGGTCACACATATTTTTCGAGGCAAGCGCGTATGACTCACCTCGGTTAGCCTTTCAAGCTGAGACGCTCCGTCGACGGTCTCCAGCGCCTCGCGGAGCGCTTGAAGTAGACGGTCCACCTCCTGTACGGACCTGCCGCAGGCGGCACCGGCCAGGCACAGCACCAGCGCAAGGTAGATCCTCATGGTTCTGTGGGGTGAAAAAAAAGCAAAAGTGCCGAATCTTTATGTTCAAATGACTGCCTCTCTGTAGGATGTACAAAGGTCGGGTTTAAGTATGGGTGGTTCTTGGCCCGCTCCGATGTACAGTGTATTAAGTATGGGCGCTTCTTGGCCCGCTCCCATGTACAGTGCATTAAGTATGGGCGCTACTTGTCCCGCTCCCATGTACAGTGTATTAAGTATGGGCGCTTCTTGGCCCGCTCCCATGTACAGTGTATTAAGTATGGGTGCTTCTTGGCCCGCTCCTATGTACAGTGTATTAAGTATGGGCGCTTCTTGGCCCGCTCCCATGTACAGCGTATTAAGTATGGGTGATTCTTGGCCCGCTCCTATGTACAGTGTATTAAGTATGGGCGCTTCTTGGCCCGCTCCGATGTACAGTGTATTAAGTATAGGTGGTTCTTGGCCCGCTCCCATGTACAGTGTATTAAGTATGGGTGCTTCTTGCCCCGCTCCCATGTACAGTGTATTAACAAGTAGTTCAGTACAGGCCCGGGGTGGCACTTCATTGAGACTTGTATTAAATATGGACGTCAAAACCAGTATTAAGACATGCAAAGAAAATGTGCAAAGCTCGGGTGTAACAGGTAGTTCAGTCTACCACCTGCTGCCACACTGCGTGCCTGTGAACCTTGTGTGTCTACAGTGGCTGTATAAGGGATTCTCTATTGGTTATACAGCTAGCTACAGATACAGATCAACAGTACGGGTGAGGCTGGCAGTGACGCTATGCAAATTGTTGTGCATGAAATTCATTGGGAATTGTGGTTGATAGCCTTATCGTCACGCACAAAAGAAGGTTTTGCATTACTTTTTTAATACATTAAAAACAATGGAAACGATGAAAACGACCGCACAATTATTGAGATTATGGCCTGTAATTAAGCGAATTGATTGGTTGCATAAAGTGCAGCAAAATTAAAGGCAAGAAGAATACTAGTAAAAAATAGGCAAAGTTTTCCACTCACCGCTGTAGTGGTGCCCAGACGCGGCGTCGGATCGGTGGCTGGAAGACGGAATGTCGCAGACCAGAGAAGAGCCGTCTTTTATAGCAGAGGCACCGAGTGCTACTAAATAGCGGTTGGAGCTAAGAGACCACGTCTTTCCCAGAAAAAAAAATGATTCAGCCAAAATGGTTGTTCACGTGAAGTCCTGATGAGTTTTCCGACACGAAGAAACTAGACCTGTTGGCAAAACCCGGCACACCACCGGTTTAGTAAGAGACCAAGTGGTTCCCCAGAAAAAATGATTCAGCCAAAATGGTTGTTCACGTGAAGTCCTGATAAGTTTCCCGTATGCGTGACCGATGTATGACACCTGACAATGGCATACAGGCTCAGATTGTATCCAGCCAACGCGGCAAAAGTAAAAAAGCCCGGTCACGGTAATCTCCGAGCAGATCTTTTCGTGGCCGCAACAGACAGTATCAAATTGGCCAGGCAATATCCATTAGCCAGACAGTATGGGCACTCCTCTGGCCAATGGATACTGCCTTGTCAACGTATGATCTGTTTGGAGATTACATGTACAGCGTGCAATTGTCGCGGCCCTCCCTCAGATGGCATAGGAAAGGCTGTACTTCCTATTACTAAGTAAACCCGTGGGAGAAGGCAGTCCCTAGTTATTTTGTTGGGTACGGGTGTCACTCAAGTTCATTTTCCTGTCGTCATCCCGGTGATAAAGTAATCATCCAGATCATCGACTCAAGGCCTGCCATGGCCTCCAGAACTGACAGGGAATCACGTCGTCATATTACAGTGGTCTTTTGTAAGTCCTGTACACACACAGGAGCAGGTTTACCTTTTGATTGTTTTGGGAAAACCTTCTGATATACTAAGAAATGTAAAGCCCTTTATCCTGCGTGACGAAAAAAAACAAGGCTGTCAACCACGATTCCCGTATTCTTAATCAGTCGTTTTGCAAAAGTTGTAGCACAAGTCGCGACGCCGGGCTTCTAGTGAGAACAGGCCAGTATATTGGGATGGAATATCATATCAGAGAAACCGTTGCGGCCAGAGAATGCTCAAATCTCAACTTCTGCTTGAAGACTAGCCAAAATCAAGCGTACTCATCATATCCGTGAATAGTTTGTCTTGCAACAAATATCTAAAATCATATCTACGAGTGTTCATGATCAACAATGCAAGATTACACTCTCTGATTCGCGTTCGTTCTTGTCGGGAAATGTTGTAATCTCCAAGCAGATCTTTCGGTGGGTGGCCAAGACAATATCAAATTGGCCAGCCTGAATCTATTTCCCCATCGAAGGGAAATGAATGCTGCCTGGCCATTTTGATATTATCTTGGCCACCCACCAAAAGACCAGAAATGTTGGAGCTCACTGCCAAATGTCACTCACCAACACTTGAGGAGGAAATACATTGTTTCATGGGGGCATTGCGCCAGCCAAGAACCTGCTTGTACAATCAGACTTCCTAATCAGGAATTCTGATTGTACAAGCAGGTTCTTGGTTGGCGCAATGCCCATGATTGACACAAAGTAAAATACAATATGCCTCAGATCAGGAAATATTTGTGTGCGAGGGAAGGTTGATAGTTCAGCGGGAAGTGAGTGGGAGTGATCATGAGTACGTGTGCGTGCCAATGTTTGTCCTACCTTCAGTTTCTCTTAAGCGTAAAGTTTTATACGTCTGAATTCATTCTCTCTCTCTCTCTCTCTCACACACACACACACACATGCACGCACACACACACACACACTCGTGAACACGCACAGACTCACACAAACACACTCATTCACACACACACACAAACACACACACAAACACACTCATACACACACAAACACGCACACAAACATGCACACAGACACACACGCACACACACACACATGATAGTCTATATAGCCACCCTACCTTGCACTTATTAAAAACAAAACTATAATTAACGTTCGCCCTTGGCCTTGCATTTTTCTACTCCCAGTTTTAAGATTGTTATCGTCTATACGTAGAGTCTACTTTGCAGTTATAAGCGAAAATGCGCGCCTGGAACTACGTTCATGTACTTCCGGTGGTATGCCGGGTTTTGCCAACTGGTCTAGTTTCCTCGTGTCATACATCGGTCACACGCACGGAAAACCATAGATATTGTAGACATGATTTTAGATATTGTTACATGACAAACTCACGGATAGTAGTTAAACTATGATGAGCACGGCTGATTTTGGCTAGTCTTCAAGCAGAATTTGAGATTTAAAAAATACGAGCATTCTCTGTTTTATTTGACACATTTTCTAAAATGATTCCATCACATCAAGTTCCCTTGTAACAGCAATGCATTTCTAGTTTGCGGTCGTGCGACAATTGCACGCTGTACATGTAATCTCCAAGCAGATCATAGGTTGACAAGGCAGTATCCATTGGCCAGAGGAGTGCCCATACTGCCTGGCTAATGGATATTGTCTGGCCAATTTGATACTGTCTGTTGCGGCCACGAAAAGATCTGCTCGGAGATTACCGTGACCGGGCTTCTGACTTTTGCCGCGTTTGCTGGATACAATCTGAGCCTGCATGCCATTGTTCAGGTGTCATACATCGGTCACGCATACGGGAAACTTATCAGGACTTCACGTGAACAACCATTTTGGCTGAATCATTTTGGGGGG